CGCAGTCATCTCTACTCATGTACGATAAATATAGAATACTAAACGAGCTCCTGTGTAATACCAATTTTATGAAACGAGTGAATAGTTCTGGTATCTGACGAGCGAAAGCGAGTCAGATACCACAACTATTCACGAGTTTCATAAAATTGGTTTTACACGAGAGCGAGTTTAGTATTTTATTTATTACTTGTCATTTATAATGTTTTTAGAATTATACTTTTGAGTGTAAATAGGCTGACACCTACACGATCCATGGCATAATCCAATTGAGTTTAACAGAATAATACTTCAAACACGTCAAAAGTTGAAACGTATGAAATTAATATCATACAACGGTCCAGCTTTAGAATTCAGGCGTTCGTCCCACAAAATTATCGTAGTGCTAAGGCTATCACAACTCACATAATTTAACTTAGACCAACGACTGTCGTTGCGCTAGAGTACGATCGCCTTGTGGAACGGGGCCTTGCACCTCAAAGTTTACAATCACGTCACAATACCCGATGACGTAATTTGTTGAATTTTGTTGCAAGATCCATCGGCGAAACAATGCCATGTGTCGTCAGCCTAGCAACAAGGTTGCTGGGGGCATCGAGTGTGCATAAGCTCCTCCCAGTGATCTATCATCTCCACACACAATGTCGTTGAATACGCCAAGGGATGTTGAGAGCTTTCAATATTTGTTCGTGAAACGTGTTCCGAGAGTACATAAGCACGCGTTTTGGTATTACACAATGTGTAATAAAGCTGTATGTTTATTAAACGGGTGATCTCTTCACGGGCAAGTAATAAAGATCAATTATTATACATAGGGTGCGGTTTAACTTACTGGTTAGCTGCTAGGCTGAGGGTACCAAATTGATTTCCGGCATAATAGAGGTAACCCAAGGGAACATCAATCTCTTCTAATGCAATTGCTGGAAAGCCAGACACTGTTTCAGAGACTGTGGAAGCCGCTGTGTTGTTGGAGCCGGTGATGAATTTCTACAACATCGGAATCACAGAATATTGCATGTGGCATAGCATTGATGAAGCTTTAAACCTGTCTGAACTAATAACCTCCAGAATATAACTCTGATGTCAGCATCAATCCGTCGTACTTGTACTTTAATATTCATATCCCTTCATGGTTTGCCACGGAATCGTGCTGTAAATGGGGAAGCGTTAAAGTTTGTAGGAATTTGACCACCTCCTCAGCGCATAGATTTTGCAACCAGATATTGCTACGGTTGGACATGACACATATTTCTGGTGGTAAAGGTTTGCAACATGTGGGAAAATGTTGGGATATGGCTGCTTCTGTGTTTGTATATAACGCAAACACCTTTCTAGTCTGTTACTGATGTGACCTCATAGATAAAAAATGAGCCGATAATATTTGCACTGAATGAAAATAGAAATCAAAGCAACCCTAACACTCTATGAACTATTTTCCTTCCAGGAACATGGATCATGATTAAGACGACATCTGTCTCTCTCATTTCAAGAATGTGTATCTATATTCAACACTGATTCCTTCTAGGAACACTTTTAATTTTGGACAACGCATGCCCAATGCAGCGGAACTTAACACTGCCCCACTTTACTAATACCGTTGTCTGCTCTTGAACGTCTTCACATCTGTGCTATTACAGCAAAGGAAGTAGGTAATACAAATGTAGTGTATTTATTATCTTAAATATAAGCTGAATACTACTGTTACCGACCTTCCAAATTACTCTTAACACCCAAGCGATCACGTATGTCAAATTTTGCCAATTTTTTAAAAACACTTTTTGATTTTAGCTAGAAATACTAATGATGACGTTTCTAGTCGAAAAATTAGTACCAAATATATATTTTTGTAATTTGCTTTTTTTATTTTTATCTAAAATGATCCAGAATTTCCAGTGACCATTGAAAAACTGGTGTGATCAAGAACCCGCACAAGAAAGAATAAATAGAAGATATAAATAGTCTCGAAATAATTTAGTGTCATACCTGTTTAAACACCACGAACGGTAAGGCTGGATCGTTGTAGGTGAATATGCTTGGATCCGGTGTGTACTGTACAATGCTGGCCTCGACCTGACTAGATCCTGCCTGGTACAGGAAGCTGTTGGCCTCCCACTGCCCTATGACGTCCACACCACTGGACTGACTGTGCTTGATCAGCATCAGCGATCCATCGGCAAAGGTGTACACATCACCATCAGCTCTGAAGAAATAGGGACCGCTCTCCAACCACACATCTCCCTGGACAACGACGTTGAAGGAGCCGCTGCTGTTGTCCACATTCACAGCAAAGTCCTGATTTGCTGGAGAAGAAGCCACAATTCCTTAGGAAAATTAGTCAGTGAGTGAGCGAGTGAGAAGAAGTCATAATACATTAGGAGGTAGTGAGTAAGTGAATGAGTTTGAATAAACGCCGCCTTTAGCAGTATTCAAGTTATATCAGGGCGTGTCAGACCTCAGACGTATACAGAAAGACATTAAACAATTATGAGTTTTTCAGCACTATACACAACCAAGTTTCAGTTTTTATCAGCGAGTGATGAGAGAACTACAAATAGGAAGGAATTATTGATTGTTTTTCCCCAGTGAACAAACTTTTCTGAAGTAATATTAAAACATTATTTCAAGTGGAGATAGCTCAGTTGGCCAATTGTTGGAACGACACCACATACGATTGTTTGCGAGTTTTCTCGTTACTTCGAATTTTTCTCGTTATTTCGAGCTTTTTCTCGTTATTCCGATTAGTTTCTCGTTAATTCAATTATTGACACGCAGTTATGAGTTCTTTCTCGTTATTACTATTATTTTCTCGTAACTTCTATTATTTTCTCGTTCTTTCTAGTTTCTTTTCCAAAACTCGTAATTACGAGAAAATAATTGAAATAACGAGAAACTGTTCGAAATTTTGAGTATTTGAGATAAACTTGAAATAATGATAAAATAGTCGAAATAACGAGGAAAAAATCGAAACGAGAAAATAATTGAAATAACGAAAAGATAGTTGTAGCAACGAAAAATAATTTTATTATTTCGACCTGTAAGAATATTAGGACATCATTCTTACCCGTTGTTAAGATAGAATCAGGTCATACTTGTCGCAGGTTCCATATTTGTTACGTCAGTGACATTTTTAAACAGATGTAGGGTTAAGACATCATTTGAATTTCTGTTTTCCTTAAACGAAGCATATACATGTTTATAACATATTTGAACTTACCTGCACAGACATTCACAACTGTTAGGACAGCAACGATCAGCACCAGCTTCATCTTTGTCGAAGCTGTGAATAATGTGAGCACATGTTGAGTAATATTATGAAAGACTTTGAACGATATTACAGAAACCTTGAATCAGTATCTAGCAAGGTTATACATAATCACACCATGACTTTGTGTTATCACTTCATACTTCGGTTCGATTTACCAGTGTGACCTTGTGTGTACATGAAGGTACCAGTAGCCGACTAATAATGGTAATGCATTGTAACAATGAATTTGTCTTCCAGTCGTTATGAAATGTGGCTCCTCATCTACCTGAGCGCATCAATTGCAGCTAATTCTTTAAAGAGCAATTCGTTGAATGGTGCAGGGGCAGGTATCTCTTATTTGTATTTGGTTTTTTTCTGTGTACGACGATACGCTATCACCGACCCTGAACACCTGATCCATTTGGTCGCCCCGTACTATCAGCATAGGTTCAGTATATGGAATCCTTGCGGGTCGTCCGGATTAACGTAGTGATATGTAGTGTCCTCTTTTTCTTTATTTATACGCGTCACAAAATAAATGTCACAACAAAAGACATTAAAAGATTGAAAATGTTGTTTCCCTTTCTGACGCTCGCTCGGGGTATACTGTGTCTGAATGGGGTGTCTGGCTGAATACTGTGTCTAAGTTGGGTGTCCAGCTGTATACTGTGTCTAAGTGGGGTGTCCAGCTGTATACTGTGTCTGTGTGGGTGTCCAGCTGTATACTTTGTCTGAGTGGGGTGTCCAGCTGTATACTTTGTCTAAGTGGGGTGTCCAGCTGTATACTGTGTCTAAGTGGGGTGTCCAGCTGTATACTGTGTCTAAGTGGGGTGTCCAGCTGTATACTGTGTCTAAGTGGGGTGTCCAGCTGTATACTGTGTCTAAGTGGGGTGTCAAGCTGTAAACTGTGTCTGTGTGGGTGTCCAGCTGTATACTGTGTCTGAGTTGGTGTCCAGCTATATACTGTGTCTGAGTTGGTGTCCAGCTGTATACTGTGTGTGAGTTGGTGTCCAGCTGTATGCTGTGTCTGAGTGGGGTGTCCAGCTGTATACTGTGTCTGAATGGGTGTCCAGCTGTATACTGTGTCTGTGTGGGTGTCCAGCTGTATACTGTGTCTGAATGGGTGTCCAGCTGTATACTGTGGCTGAGTGGGTGTCCAGCTGTATACTGTGTCTAAGTGGGGTGTCCAGCTGTATACTTTGTCTGAGTGGGTGTCCAGCTGTATACTGTGTCTAAGTGGGGTGTCCAGCTGTATACTGTGTCTGAGTGGGGTGTCCAGCTGTATACTGTGTCTGAGTGGGGTGTCCAGCTGTATACTGTGTCTGAATGGGTGTCCAGCTGTATATTGTGTCTGTGTGGGTGTCCAGCTGTATACTGTGTCTCAGTTGGTGTCCAGCTTTATACTGTGTCTGTGTGAGGTGTCCAGCCGTATACTGTGTCTAAGTGGGGTGTCCATCTGTATACTATGTATGTGTGGGTGCCTAGCTGCATATTGTGTCTGAGTGTGGTGTCCAGCAAAATAGCTACAGCAGCGCCCCCAAGCGATAGCTGCCGTCGCTACCGAGGCTGCATATTCACCTCGTCGAGAGTCGATATTCTAGGTCAGTGTCAGTGACATGATTCGGGGTCGACCTTGACATGTGTTGTTTCATCACGTGGTACGAATTAACCAATGGAACTGCAAGATTCTCCATTGGGCTATGCAAACAGCCGGTGACAAGCTGACTCTATCTTTGTGATTAGATAAAGGGTGACTGACCTTGTGACAAGTGGACACAACTCCACACGCCTTTGTTGGAAAAGGGTAAGTTATTTGTTGGCATGGAAAACTGGTGTGAAATGTAACACAACATGGGACCCGTGAAGATCCAGGTTAGAATTAGCCTTCAGCAATCCATGCTTTGATCAAATTCGCTCACTAAATTGAGTGCGTAGATCGATGCTCATGGATCGTCTGATCCAGACTCGATTATTTACACATCGCCTTCATAGAGCAGAAATATTGCAGAGTGCGGCTTTAAGCAACAGACAAATAAGCGTTATAAGATGCTTTGTGTCACGTAACTGTTGGTCATAAGTGGTTAAACAATACCTCCATGAGAACGCTTGAGTATATATTACATGTATAGGCCTAAGCTATTTGTATCGGGATCAAAGTACTACACTCTAATATACATCAAGATAACCATACGGTGTCTGTTGCAGGTCGTTCTCATCAACCATGGCCTGCACAGGTAAGTTGTGATTTCCTTTCTCGTTCGTAATGACTTAGTTGATCGTATGTCCATGCACCCCTATGACACAGATCGTTGCTCCCAATATCAATCACTATGGGGGGCACGGGTGGCCAAATCGCTTCAGCCGCGCTTCGCTGTGCAGAGTTGCGTCCCTTGGGCACACCAGAAACCTATGATTGTGGGTTCGAATCCCGGTTCGCCCTGATTATGTTTCTAGGTTGGTTTCGTGGGTTTCACCGAAGTGGTAAAACGTCTGAGACCTGCATTACTTCGGGCTTTCCTCCCACATTAAGCTGACACGCCGTGATATAACTGGAATACTGTTAAAAGCGGCGTTAAACCTAACTCTCTCATACAATCACTATGCTTGATCTAGATTAAATTATTTACAGTCCGCTGTCATATTGATGGAAAAGAGCTGAGTGCGGCGTAAAACAACATGCAAACAAATGAATTAGTCAAATTTACAAATAAAAAAAAGAAGCTCGTCATTACACTGGTAAAAAAAATCCTTTCAATCACCATCCGTTAAAAGAGTAGTGTTCAGGTTTGCTTTTATGGTAGACGTATGGAGAATATTTTGTGACCACAATGCCCAATGCAATTCCCTGTTTTGAATTTGTGTTTGTTCAGGTGAACACGACTTGCCTTTGCATGTGTTTGTGACGGGTGCTAACGATAGGGAGGATGCACTCTTTTTTTTACGAGAATTCCTCGTGTCATTTCTGTGTGATCGTGATACGTAAGCAGACGCTCATGAGTGGGTGAGTGAGTGAGGTTTTATGCCGCTTTTAGCAATATTCCAGCAATATCACGGCGGGGGACACCAGAAATGGGCTTCACACATTGTACCCATGTCGGGAATCGAACCCCGGTCTTCGGCGTGACGAGCGAACGCTTTAACCGCTAGGCTACCCGACCGCCCTCATGATAAATACGAAATCGTACCATGCAATCTGTGCGTATAGTGTTACGCCGAGTTTAGCAATACTCCAGCAATCTCACGGAATGGCACACCAGAACGTGGCTTCACACATTGCACCCATGTGGGATTCGAACCCGGTCCTTCGGCGTGACGAGCGCAGGCTATAGCTACTAGGCTACTCCACCACCCAGTTTACGTTTGTTTGTTTTTTGTCACAGTGGGTTGATTATTTTTAACATCAATATACACATCATTTTTGTGTTGGGGATATTTATTTCATTGTATTTGTTATTTTTACCATTACTTATTAACGTAAAACAAAGTCATCTATTATAGACTCTCATTTCATTTCTGTGTAACTGCATGAACAATGTTGTGATCCCGTTATTATTTCAGACTTCCGGTACACATGCCCATTTGCAGCGACGGATGATATGAAACAAGGTTTTGACGAGGCCGGGTTCGTCATTATCCGGTAGGTCTTACACCTCCTTAGCATTACAATAGTATTAGTCATAGAAGATGCTTGTTTTTATAGTATTATTTCATTGTCTTTTGGGCTACTGGTGTCAATGCGACCTCAGTCGTGCCAAGATCTGTTGATAACGATCATCGGTCTGTGTTATGACGATAATGGGTCTGTGATCATAACGATGATTGGTATGTGTTGATAACGATCATTGGTATATGTTGATAACGATAATTGCTCTGTGTTGATAACGATAATTGCTCTGTGTTGATAACGATGATTGGTCTGTGTTGATAACGATCATTGGTCTGTGTTGATAACGATAATTGCTCTGTGTTGATAACGATAATTGCTCTGTGTTGATAACGATGATTGGTCTGTGTTGATAACGATCATCGGTCTGTGGTGATAACGATCATTGGTCTGTGATCATGACATCGATTGGTATGTGGTGATAACGATCATTGGTCTGTGCTGATAACAATCATTGGTCTGTGATCATAACGATCATTGGTCTGTGCTGATAACGATTATTGGTCTGTGATGATAACGATCATCGGTCTGTTTGATGACGATAATTGGTCTGTATGAGAAGGTTTTAGGTCTACTTTTGTTGGAACAGTTGTGACCAGCCAATCAAGTAATTATGAACAGCGATCCACGCCGGCTAGATACGCTGCCACACAATCAGTTTGGCCGCTCGAGCCAGTTAGTTTCCTCTTTCGGTCTCTTGTTTCTTTGGAAGTATTCTAAACCGGAATCCCCCGGTGTTGTCGCAAACAAATATCATCACGATACATGTAGAATAGTTTATGACATATGTGTTCCAATTACAGATGGGCGGTCGGTAGCCCAGTGGTTAAAGCGTTCGCTCATCACGCCGAAGACCTGGGTTCGATTCCCGACATGGGTGCATTCTGTGAAGCCCATTTCTGGTGTCCCCCGCCGTGATGTTGCTGTAATATTGCTAATCGCGGCATAAAACCCAACTCACTCACTCACTCACATTACAGAGGCCTGCTTGACAAGGACGAAGTCGGTAAACTGACAAAGGCAGCGGAGACGAACACAGCCTTCTCGCAGCACGCCTTCAATGTAGGTGATGGAATCATACGGTTTGCTTGTAATGTTTTATTCCGCTCTACATGACAGCGGTCTGTACATAGTCGAGCCTCGAGAAGAGATACCAGTGATTGATAACAACGACCCATGCCTTCGTAGTACGATGACACGCAATCAACGAAATAGCCCAGCCTGGCCACCAGCTCCATCACATCGCCTTGGGGATGCTGGAGACCAATTGTAAATCGGAATCTCCATGAGATCACCCAATACATCGTTATATGCTTTCTGACCGCCTCCGTGGACTAGTGGTAGAGCGTCCGCCCGGAGAGCGGAAGGTCCGGGGTTCGGTTCCCGGCCGCGACATACCAAAAGACGTTAAAAGATGGTACTTGTTGTTACCCTGTCTGGCGCTCGGCATTAAGGGGCTAAAACAAGGACTGGACGGCTCGGAGTCAGTATACTGTGTCTGAGTGGGATATTCATGTTAAACTGCTGCATGGTATCAGTCCGGACTAGTACAAGCAGCCACACAAACACACACACGTACATGCACGTCGCTATATAAGTGCAATAATCTTGGACGCGACGTTAAACCCCATTTCACCTCACCTTATATGCTTTCTCAACCCAACTTCTTGAGTGTAAAGAAATGTTGAACTAACTTGCAATGAAGTGAAGACATTTCATATAATGATAATATATTTTTTCTAAAACCCAACAACCATTAATCTTTCGGCTTTTGGTTCATTATCGAGCTTGAAACGAGGCCAAGAGGATCAGATCGTGAGAACATGGATGAACATCGTGCCCAGATGGCGTGCTTGTTTGGTCACGATTCCGTCACCGGTTTGTCAGCCATGATACAGCTGCAATATTGCTGACCGTGGCGTTCAATACCAATCAGTCCCGTACAGCCAGGATACCCCATGTCGATGCTTGATGTTTTTTTGTTTGTGTTTATTTGTGTTTTTGTTTTGTTTAATGCTGCACATTGTTCTAGATAAATGATGACATGAACATCGTTGCACGCAGCTAGGATACGACACATGCAATTAACCATTTTCTTTAACCTGACAACCCGATACATTCATCGCCTCTTACAACATACACGGTTGCTCGGATGGTTTACATCGTATGTTGAGAAAGGAGGTCCAAAGTGTACTATCGGTTTCATATAGTTGACCGCCCGGAGAGCGGAAGGTCCGGGGTTCGATCCGGGGTTCGGGGTCAAAAGACGTTAAAAAATGGTACTTGTTGTTACCCTGTCTGGCGCTCGGCATTAAGGGACTAAAACAAGGACTGGCCGGCTTGGAGTCAGTTTACTGTGTCTGAGTGGGGTATTCATGTTAAACTGCGGCATGGTATCTCAACGGCTGGCACTAAAAATCAGTCCGGACTAGTACAAGCAGCCACACACACTAACACACACGTGCATGCACGTCGCTATTTAAGTGCAATGATCTTGGACGCGACGTTAAGCCCCATTTCACCTCACCTCGTGTAGTTGACTTTCCTTACTTGAATTTGAATTGAGACCAATGAGTATGACAGCTGTACTCTCTCGTTCTAGTTGGACGACAGCGAGGGGCGGAAGAGCAGGATGGTGGCCTGGGATCACCCCGGGGATGACGTCACTGGTATACTGTCCAGGAGCGCTAGAATAGTCAGGACTTGTGAAAAGGTATGTGTAGTATTTAGAATATACTCAACAAAAGTCCCTGTGGCATCAATATTTTAGTTCATTTTCAAACAAGTAAAGTTTGGTTTTCAATATTGTAGTACCTGTATGGAATCATGTCACAAAAACGCAACTGCTACAGAAAAGCATGCTTTCCATGCAAAAATTGACTTGTATGCAAGCCCGATGCATTTCACTACCCAAGAATGGGTATAAAAAACATGTGCGTTAACGGGATTCCATATGCCTTGTTTAGCATCGTGCTGACAACAACCAATCAGAAAAACAACAACATTACGCAATTATTCAACATTACGAAATGCCACGTCTGTCCGAGCCATTGGTATGCTTGAAATAGGATCGAGTCAACGTGATGTTGCAAGATATTGTAACGTCCACAGACGAAGGCAACAGACGAATGTACTCAGAGACCATCCTCGGAGTGGCAGGCCACGCGTAACTAATAATCGACAAGACAACTGGATTCGAACAACACACCGACTCAGGAAGAATGGGCTGCCATTCAACAAGGTGTTATCTGCAGGCTCTCATGGGCAGGAGGTGCCAGGCAGTGAACCTGGCCAATGGTGGACACACAGTACTGGACCTTACGACTGCCGTGATTGAGATAATGACAACAATTTTGTAATCTTACAAATACACACACACTCACACGCACACGCACACACGCACACACACGTATCACATTTAAAGCCTTGATGATGTCACAGAATGAAGCTCCTAAAAATCACCTATGCGTTTCGTTTTGGTTGAAATATGTATTACCATATTACCGACTAATATGTTATTCACATATTCACAAACCCAGATTTTCTACAGTCCTGTTGCGATTATAACGCTGCGATATGTATTTTAGCATATGGGGTGTTCGATAACGTTGTGCAAACGACTATTGAAGAACAGAGCTCTTTGTTGAGACACACTGTCTGGGACATCCATCCGCAAGGGAATATGTATGTCTTCACCGTGGTTGTAATAATATAGGCACTTTACGTTATCTACCGTCTCATTTGTTAATTATTGGGTGTTGATTTGATATATCTGTATTGGACACCACAAGTGATGAAGATATGGAACACAGAACAGTAAAGGTACAATGCCCTCTAATTTGTAAGGGTCCAAATGTTTTGGCCAAGTGTACCCCAGCGTTTACCAACAAGGGCTTGCTTTAAACAATTTCTTCGAATTCTCTTCAGCTCTTAGGGGACGAAGTGTACCACTACCATGGGAAACTGATGATGAAGAACCCTCAATCTGGAGGAAAGTTTGTCTGGCACCAGGACTACGGGTAGGTACTGAAACATCCACCGTCTTTAACTAAACATGTATCTTTTCTGGATGGAACTATCGTTCTTGAAGAAATGTCCACAATTTACAACTTTTGAGGTACAAATTAGCATGCTCTTTATACGACTATGTCTTAGAGCTGCATGTCCCTCATGGAAATGCGCATGCGTATGTTCCGATCCAGCTTTCAACCATCCGGCGCATGGTTTGCTCATGCCATCTTCCATTAGTTTGTCTGGTGCAGACTGCATCATTTATAAGCTGCCGTGCTACAGCTGGACTATAGCTGAGTGCGTCGCTACATGACACAATCATGAGTAAGTGAGTATGATTTTACGCCGCTTTTGGCAATATTCCAGCAATATCACGGCGGGGGACACCAGAAATGGGATTCACACATTGTACCATGTGGGGAATCGAACCCGGGTCTTCGGCGTGACGAGCGAACGCTTTAACCACTAGGCTACCCGACCGCCCACAAACAATCATGATGTTAACTAACGTGTCATTTCCTATCAGATACTGGTATCAGAACGGCAACCTCTTCCCCGACATGATGAGTGTCTTCGTTGCCATTGATCAGTGTACAAAGGAAAATGGATGTCTTCAGGTACCGTTTCACATTTTTACAATATCATGAGTTTTCATGAACAACATACTGTAGAGAATGAACATGCATTGTAGGCACAGATACTAATTTAGCACACTGGCTAAACATACACAAAACTATGTTGCAAATATATCAAGGAAAGACGAGGTTGATGCCGACCAATCTGACTTTGCTCATACACTTTTGTTGTATTACTTTGATCCTTTCAGAGTTTAACCAACTTCACAACTTATGACATAAGGATTTCCCTCACTCTTATGCATTGTAAAATCGTTGTTCGAGACGTGATATTCGTTCATTGAAATAACTTTACAAACCGCAGCCCTATGAGTCGATAGAACATATACCCATTTTTCAACGCCTTTCAAATCCTACAATCGGACATAGTTTTGCAAATCCGTGGGCATTGCATCATTAAATGGAGCTTATATCAAGTAGTTCTTGATGGTCAGTCCGTTTGCATTGTAGATGTATGCACGAAACGACACATTCACAATCTTCAAGGTTTATTCCTTGCGAAACTTGTACACGAATTGTAACCTGAGATTGACCAACATAAACAAACAATAATGACTTGAAACGTTTTCGTCTTGTCAGTTAATGCAACCACAACTTACTTATGCATTTATATATGCAAAAACCACCATTGATAAATGTAGGTTATAAATATCCTTGCATTACAGTTGTATGAAGTACTATGTATAAGGTTTTTGTTCTCAATGTTGTTTTATATGCTGAGGGGCAGTCGGGTAGCCTAGTGGTTAAAGCGTTCGCTCGTAACGCCGAAGACCCGGGTTCGATTCCCGACATGGGTACAATGTGTGAAGCCCATTTCTGGTGTCCCCCGCCGTGATAATGCTGGAATATTGCTGAAAGCGGCGTAAAAACCATACTCACTCACTCACTCACTTGTATATGCTGGTGCAATGCTACATACATCAACAGCGAACGAACTCAGGCGACATCAAACATCGACGAGCGCATGTGTTTACGAGCAGTGTAGAGTTACCTACCCTGGTTAATTAAATTAGCAGCGCTTGCACACCGCTAAAGATATCTTTATACTGTAAACTACGGTTATAACGAACACGCCTATAACGAACTTACGGATATAACGAACTTAGTTTTTTGGTCCCGACTATTTGCCGTAGTTATGCTGTATATATGCTTATAACGAACTAGGGTTATAACGAACTAAAACTAATAGTCACTTTGAGTTCGTTATAACCGTACTTTACTGTACATACCGCCGACAACATTCAAGATCCGACATTAATATCTATTACATCATGACACTATGTTTTTCTGACTGGTTTCGTGTATTATACGATACAACTGCCATGTTATACAGGTACTGAAGGTTATCCCTCATTATACGATACAACTGCCATGTTATACAGGTACTGAAGGGTCCCCGCATTATACGATACAACTGCCATGTTATACAGGTACTGAAGGGTTCCCGCATTATACGATACAACTGCCATGTTATATAGGTACTGAAGGGTTCCCGCATTATACGATACAACTGTCATGTTATACAGGTACTGGGGGCGGTCGGGTAGCCTAGTGGTTAAAGCGTTCGCTCGTCACGCCGAAGACCCGGGTTCGATTCCCGACATGGGTTCAATGTGTGAAGCCCATTTCTGGTGTCCCCCGCCGTGATATTGCTGGAATATTGCTAAAAGCGGCGTAAAACCATACTCACTCACTCACTTATACAGGTACTGAAGGGTCCCCGCATTATACGATACAACTGCCATGTTATACAGGTACTGAAGGGTTCTCGCATTAAATGATACAATTGTCTATTATACAGGTACTGAAGGGCTCCCACATTATACGATACAACTGCCATGTTATACAGGTACTGAAGGGCTCCCGCATTATACGATACAACTGTCATGTTATACAGGTACTGAAGGGCTCCCACATTATACGATACAACTGTCATGTTATACAGGTACTGAAGGGCTCCCACATTATACGATACAACTGCCATGTTATACAGGTACTGAAGGGCTCCCACATTATACGATACAACTGTCATGTTATACAGGTACTAAAGGGCTCCCACATTATATGATACAGCTGCCATGTTATACAGGTACTGAAGGGCTCCCACATTATACGATACAACTGTCATGTTATACAGGTACTGAAGAGCTCCCACATTATACGATACAGCTGCCATGTTATACAGGTACTGAAGGGTTCCCGCATTATACGATACAACTGCCATGTTATACAGGTACTGAAGGGTTCCCGCATTAAACGATACAACTGCCATGTTATACAGGTACTGCAGGGCTCCCACATTATACGATACAACTGTCATGTTATACAGGTACTGAAGGGTTCCCGCATTATACGATACAACTGTCATGTTATACAGGTACTGAAGGGTTCCCGCATTATACGAAGGGTTCCCGCATTATACCATACAACTGTCATGTTATACAGGTACTGAAGGGCTCCCACATTATACGATACAACTGCCATGTTATACAGGTACTGAAGGGTTCCCGCATTATACGATACAACTGTCATGTTATACAGGTACTGAAGGGTTCCCGCATTATACGATACAACTGCCATGTTATACAGGTACTGAAGGGTCCCCACATTATACGATACAACTGCCATGTTATACAGGTACTGAAGGGTTCCCGCATTATACGATACAACTGCCATGTTATACAGGTACTGAAGGGTTCCCGCATTATACGATACAACTGCCATGTTATACAGGTACTGAAGGGTTCCCACATTATACGATACAACTGCCATGTTATACAGGTACTGAAGGGTTCCCGCATTATACGATACAACTGCCATGTTATACAGGTACTGAAGGGTTCCCGCATTATACCATACAACTGTCATGTTATACAGGTACTGAAGGGCTCCCACATTATACGATACAACTGCCATGTTATACAGGTACTGAAGGGTCTCAACATTCTACGATACAACTGCCGTGTTATACAGGTACTGAAGGGATCCCGCATTATACGATACAACTGTCTATTATACAGGTACTGAAGGGTCTCCACATTCTACGATACAACTGTCTATTATACAGGTACTGAAGGGTTCCCGCATTATACGATACAACTGTCTATTATACAGGTACTGAAGGGTTCCCGCATTATACGATACAACTGTCTATTATACAGGTACTGAAGGGTTCCCGCATTATACGATACAACTGTCATGTTATACAGGTACTGAAGGGTTCCCGCATTTTACGATACAACTGCCATGTTATACAGGTACTGAAGGGTCCCCACATTATACGATACAACTGCCATGTTATACAGGTACTGAAGGGTTCCCGCATTATACGATACAACTGCCATGTTATACAGGTACTGAAGGGTTCCCGCATTATACGATACAACTGTCATGTGATACAGGTACTGAAGGGTTCCCACATTATACCATACAACTGTCATGTTATACAGGTACTGAAGGGCTCCCACATTATACGATACAACTGCCATGTTATACAGGTACTGAAGGGTCTCCACATTCTACGATACAACTGCCGTGTTATACAGGTACTGAAGGGATCCCGCATTATACGATACAACTGTCTATTATACAGGTACTGAAGGGTCTCCACATTCTACGATACAACTGCCGTGTTATACAGGTACTGAAGGGATCCCGCATTATACGATACAACTGTCTATTATACAGGTACTGAAGGGTTCCCGCATTATACGATACAACTGTCTATTATACAGGTACTGAAGGGTTCCCGCATTATACGATACAACTGCCATGTTATACAGGTACTGAAGGGTTCCCGCATTATACGATACAACTGTCATGTTATACAGGTACTGAAGGGTTCCCGCATTATACGATACAACTGTCTATTATACAGGTACTGAAGGGCTCCCATAAGTGTGGGCGCATTGACCACTGTGCTGTTGGGGGCCAGACTGGGGCAGATGGAGAAAGAGTCAGCCAACTGAAGACGGTTTGCCCCCTTGTGTTTGTGGAGCTGGAGCCTGGTATGTTAGCTCTCATCACCACTGATTGTCAGGTATTCATTTGGCCGAGGGGGCCCAGTCGTGTAAGTCGCAGTTCGCTGTACAGTTGCGTCCCTTGGGCATGCCAGAAACCTATGATTGTGGGTTCGAATCCCCGTTAGCCCCGATTATGTTTCTAGGTTTGTCAGCACCATACCCGTGCTCGTGGGTTTCACCGAAGTGGTAAACGTCTGAGATCTGCTTCAATTTGGGCTTTCGTCCCACATTACGCTGTGATATAACCGGAATACAGTTCAAAGAGGCGTTAACCCAACTCACTCACTCGCTTGGCCGAGGCACTTTTCAAACTTGACAAAATCAATTTTAGTCTCCAAACTACCTTATTTTCACACTTATTATAATGGTATTGTATACCTTATGAATTACCATAATAATGACACTGAATATTTCGACAGCGGAATTCAGCTGTATTAGTTTTAAAAAGTAGAATATGCAACAATGATGCTGTAAATATCAACAGATATATTACTGTCATAAGGTTTGCATGAATACAATGACCGTTACAAATAGATAAAACTGATAATAATTTTGGATAATTTTGGATTTTGGAAATACTGAAGAGGACATTCTCGCAATCTCGCACTATCGCACTTTTGGCATATTTAGCTCGTTTCCAAAGGTCGAGATAGCGAGGTTGTCCTTACAGTATTCCATACTTCTATAAGAATTCCCCTCACGGCTGATTGTCTCCCTTTGTGAGCGAGGGAGATGATGTTTGTTTAATGCATACATACATGATACTTTGATATGCCAAGGGGACGCCCTATTCTTCCACGCCAACCTGCTGCACACGAGCAATGCCAACACGAGTGACAGAAGACGTTGGGCGTTTATAATCGCCATCAACACAAAACACAATGACCCCGTCAAGAAGCATCACCATCCACAGTATACTAAACTGAACGTTGTAAGTATAATGTTGAACGATAACCTTCACGCTACGGAATGAGATGAGCTGCCGGGCCAACGAAAGTATACACTATGTTCAATGTTGGCTAGAAATAAATCAAACAAGGAATGCTGATTTGAGAGAGTATTATAGTTGTGTTGTTGGACTTAGGTCGTCTATATCAGCCTTGTAACATTTTGATAACGTTTTTAATTGTTTGGTCAAATCCAATTTTCAAGATTATACTCTTTTTTTGTCCAACAGCTGAGTTTAGTAAATCCCGAGGCTTGGCGAGGATCATTCAACAGTAATATATGAAGGACAGAATACTTCTTAAACCGAAATGCATAATATCGTTACTATGGTTTTAGTGTAAAAGAACATTTGGAAACATAACGGTTTTGTAGATGATACAAAGATGCATCAGCTTAGTCAACCTTTTAGCTAACGCCGTCATATATACCCGAAAAAACTTTCTGATAGAACGTCCCCGTTGCTAGGCATCCGTTTCGCAAACGGTCAAAACAATGGAACAATATGCGTAAGTCGGTGTGACGATAAGATTCCTGATTATCTGTGGGAGTTACTGACGTTAATTTCCCGATAACTTTCCCAAAATTGAAAATATCTATATTTTGTTTGTGTTGCGTAAATATACATCGATATGTTTCGGATAAAACTCAAGGGTAGTTTGTACAATATTGCGAGAACAGATGTTCGCTCCTTGGTCATATCGTATTTTTGTACCAGTTGGAGCCAAACCTGTACATCCATTCTACTATCCAAATTATACTATCCATAACTTTGATATGCTATTGGTTTGTTACAGTAAGGACAGTGACATCAGCTTGGCTTAATGTGAACGTTGTTTTCAATACTTTTGAAAATGAGTGTCACGTCTCCCGGTCAATAAGCTCTTTTGTTGTTTAACGCCGCACTCAGCTATATCCCAGCAGTATGTCGGCGGTCTGTAAATAATCGAGTCTGAACCAGACAATCAAGTGATTGATACTATGAGCAACATCCCCACCGTCGGGGTATGAAAGCAAGAATTCTAACGCAATCAAAAGTACAGTAGCTGACACCATGAGCATCGATCTACGCAATTTGATTACGACGAAATGCATCAACCAAGTCAGCGTGTCTGACCACCCGATCCCGTTAGTCGCCTCATACGACAAGCCTGGGTTGGGTAGACTAATTCTAACTGGGATCATCACGGGTCCCGGTCTACAAGACCAGCTAAAGGTCATCGTTATGAATTCATTTAATGTACTCCGTCTACAAAAGAAAGGACAGTCTGCTCGTGAACAGATGTCATGGTATTTCGATGACGTCAACTACCCATGTATGTTCTGTTGTTAAGTTTTTAGTGTTACTTAATATGTTTTTTTCATATTTCAAATTTTTCAATTGACCAGTGAGGATTCCGGGTAACACTATCGGAACCCAGCAACCTCCGTTAGCCGCAAGAGGCGACTAAATTAATAGGGTGGTCAGGCTCTGTGACTCGGTTTATTGCATGTCATTGTGTCCCATTTGCGTGGATCGATGCTCATGATGTCAATCACTGTGTGTCTGGTCAGAATCAATTATTTACAGACCGCTGTGATATAGCTGACATATTGCAGAGCGCGGCCTCAAGCAAAGAAAACTTGATCCGCCTTCCGTGTGGAGTTGTTCTATAATTGTACTCCTTCAGGCATCCTGATCAGAATGGCACCAATGGTAAGAAGGTTCTTGCTGGTTTGGTTTCATCGAACCCGATGACAAATAACATTGATCATGTTTCCAGTTATGTTTTTGTCCTGGTTAGGACTCGTTTACTTACGGCCATCATGTTCTTATACCTTTCTGAGGTTGACGATTCTGCCCTGAAGGCTTGCGAAAACTACTACGACATGGCTGGGAAAGATTTCATGAATGCTGCAACTTCAAAAACGATCAAAGCCGAACCTTAAGATCACCAATACAGGCAACCTCTGTTATCTGGTATGTGTTCGGGACAATCCAAAAGACTTAAAGCTGGAGCAGGGACTTGATATCGCTGCTGCCAGTAATTAAGCTCGAATTTTGGAAAAGTAGACAGAACTATTATTGATAATAATTTGGTTAAACTGTAATAGCGACGTTTTAGCAGTCATCCTTGTACCGTGGTCAAGCAAGTCTTGCTTTTCTGACTACTTTGTTATCATCCAATTTGTAAGAAATGCCTCTCAAACAATTGAATTTTGAGAAATAACAAATAACAATGCATTATTACTAATTCAAGGCATTGTAATCTCTCTATAATTGCACACTGAGATTATAAGCGATTTTAGTCAAATGGTTAAAATAAGCAAACCCGATATGTTTGTAAGAATAGTTGTTATATTTGATAGGCAAATATAGATCATAAATGTGTTTTCCATGCTTTTCACTCTTTCCCCAATAAAGTAGAATATTGAGTTGTTTTTAGTGATTATTTTATTGCATATAATATAAATAAGCATCTCCGATGTCTACCACATTTGTGAAACCCACAAGCATAGATATGGTGCTGACAAACCTAGAAACATTATCAATCTGGGATGTTCATCCACGTTCATAGGAGTCACCCATCCTTTGTGAACAACGCCTTATGTTATTGTGACAACTTTATTGTGAATATGTATTATGATGAATGAGAGAGCTGGGTCTGACGCTTCTTGAACCCTACAGCTACCAGTCTTCTACCACAGTGTCTGGAGGACGCAATCAGTCATCAACTCATCAATACGGATATGGTGCAAAGAAATAAAGGATCCAAATATTGGATTCGAACCCACTTCATAGATAAAAATTCATAATGAAATGAAACCAGTACCCGCGTGCACGTCACCCACTCTGCCATGACGACATTCTTGAAATATAATTCAATGGTACCGATTCGCTTGCACGTCAACAACTACAACTATTACGACTTGACTATAACTACACACGTACAACAGGCGGAACGACTGTCAATAAAACATTTGCAACATGTGTATCTTGAATAAACTCAGAAGTTGGAGCGGAGATCTGTGCAACAACAATTCAGTTTCACGAAAACATGAACATCAGAATACACACAAAAAACGTTCTGAATACAGCTATTGCTCGTCGGGGCGGTCGGGTAGCCTAGTGGTTAAAGCGTTCGCTCGTCACGCCGAAGACCCGGGTTCGAATCCCAACATAGGTACAATGTGTAGAGCCCATTTCTGGTGTCCCCCGCCGTGATATTGCTGGAATATTGCTAAAAGCGGCGTAAAAACAATACTCACTCACTCACTCACTCACTATTGCTCGTCACAGGATCTTTGAAATAATATAAATGTGTTCTCAGGTAAACAATTGTCTTGACATGACGTGTGTTTGTGACGGTGTCACCGGTTGGGCATGGTACGTCATCACTATTTGGTTGTGAGTTATAAACACATGCTTATGATATAGTCAGGTCGTACAATGAACACTGCTTGTAGCAATATTTCTCATGAAAATGAATTTTGTTGTCACTTTATTGTACCCTTTGTAGCCATGTTACCCGAATCAGAATACGTTAAACAGACCTTTACTGTGGGAGTGCAGTCCTCCACCTATTCAATGGAAATATAACGTGTCAAGAACTCAACTTTATAACGTATTGTCAGACACGAATAGCCACAGGTCACCCAAGCCAGACTAAGTCCTTACAACTCGGACAGTTTTATCGTTCCGGAGATCAACAAAGGACTTTCCCGAGACGTCGGTGTAGTTGTTGCAGTCCCTGATGGCGGTGTTAGGTACCTGTCAAAAACAACAACGAATGTGATGATAACGTCACAATAGCTTTGATGTCATTTATAAGCATATTTTGGTATTCAAAACTGTTTCTACTAAAATTTGTATTCCTTCACTTTATTTATTCATGAAGTACGCATAACGTGATTATATAAACATTTGAGATTAATATTATAAACATACTCACGTATTAATCTATATGGACATGAAAGTAAATTATGGTATCTAGGTAAAAATGAATATATTGTTCAGTTTAGTATACTGTGGGTACTCGTTTTCATACTTTGTTCAGTCCAGTATACAGCGGGTATTCGTGTTCAGACCTTGTTAAGTTTAGTATACTGTGGGTACCCGTGTCATACCTTGTTCAGTCAGTGTACTGCGGGTACTCGTGTTCATACCTTGTTCAGATAGTGTACTGTGGGTACTCGTGTTCATACCTTGTTCAGATAGTGTACTGTGGGTACTCGTGTCATACCTTGTTCAGTTAGTATACTGTGGGTACCCGTGTCATACCTTGTTCAGCTTAGTGTACTGTGGGTACTCGTGTTCATACCTTGTTCAGTTTAGTGTACTGTGGGTACTCGTGTTCATACCTTGTTCAGATAGTGTACTGTGGGTACTCGTGTTCATACCTTGTTCAGATAGTGTACTGTGGGTACTCGTGTTCATACCTTGTTCAGATAGTGTACTGTGGGTACTCGTGTTCATACCTTGTTCAGATAGTGTACTGTGGGTACTCGTGTTCATACCTTGTTCAGATAGTGTGCTGTGGGTACTCGTGTTCATACCTTGTTCAGTTAGTGTGCTGTGGGTACTCGTGTTCATACCTTGTTCAGTTAGTGTACTGTGGGTACACGTGTCGTACCTTGTTCAGTTTAGTGTACTGTGGATACTCTTGTCATACATGTACCTTGTTCAGTTTAGTGTACTGCGGGTACTCATGTTCATACCTTGTTCAGTTAGTGTACTGTGGGTACACGTGTCGTACCTTGTTCAGTTTAGTGTACTGTGGGTACTCTTGTCATACCTTGTTTAGCTTAGTGTACTGCGGGTACTCGTGTTCATACCTTGTTCAGTTTAGTGTACTGCGGGTACTCATGTTCATACACCGGGTTGTTGGTGGCCTTGTTGAAGGCACAGATGAGGACCCAGCGTCGCATGGTGCTGTTGTTGATGCCGCTGCTGTGTAGAAGGTTACAGTGGAAGAAGAGGGCGTCACCTGCAAAGAACGCGTTTGTAGAGCAGAATGGTACTTTTCATCGATAACTCGAAGATACAATCAGCGTTTACTACTTGTACGGTGAAGTGCTCTCAGCGAGGTACGGCTTCTGTCACTGTTGGCATGTACCTTGGGGATTCTACCCATCCATATCTAAAAAATATACATGTTCCCATATATATATATATGTGTGTGTGTGTGTGTATGTGTGTGTGTGTGTGTTGTATGTGTGTATGTGTGTGTGTGCGTATGTATGTGTGTGTATGTGTATGAGTGTGTATGTTAGTGATGTATGTGTTTATGTGTGTGTGTGTTGTATGTGTGTGTATGTGTGAATCTGGTGTGTATGTGTATAAGTGTGTATGTTAGTGTTGTATGTGTTTGTGTGTGTATATGTGTGTGTATGTGTGTATGTATGTGTGAGTATGTGTGTGTATGTATGTGTTTGTGTGTGTATGTGAGTATGTGTGTGAGTGTGTGTGTGTGTGTGTGTGTGTGTGTGTTGTCTTACGCTGCACACATACATATTACAGCTACATGTACATGTGCATATGTATATAACGGGGGCCTGTGCTAATTCGAGTCTGGACAAGACAATACAATGATTGATATTATGAGCAACGATCAATCAAGTATTTGAGCCTCATCCCCCGATCCATTAAGCAGCCTCTTGCATCAGCATAGGCTGCAGGGGATCACGTCCAACCCAGAATCCCCACGGGGGGAATGGAAGATTAAGAACATGTATTCATGAAAAGAAATGTATATTCTATTCAGTAAAGATCTCAGTCATATACTTTCTCATTGTAGATATATTGAGAGCCTAGCGTGTTATCTGCACGTTGTCTACATGTCGGCAGCTAAGTAAAGCAAACGTTTTTCACCACTTATCAAGAGCTGATTACATGTATATCTGATCACCTGGCTCCATCTCAACATATCTGTGTGGACACCTCTTCTTGATCTCCATCACTCGCTTCATATCAGCCCCTGTCTGGCCCCCCACCATCAGATGGTCGACACGTCCACATCGGTGGGACCCCTCCAGGATCTGACATTGATAGAAACAAAACAATTATAATGGAATATGGAGTACATGACACTCTTCCATAGATTGCAACTTCTTTTATTCTTTGTACGACGTTTCAGCGAGCTACTGTGTGCTTCATCAGGTTAAAGTTGTTAAAAGGTTAAAAGAGTAATGTATTCATGTCCTCCCAACTTCTAAATAACTATCAAGACTTCATAACGGAATACACTGTATCCAGGAAGATCGCCTTTAAACAGTTACGGGATTTTCTTTCAGATCACGTATAAATACTCAGTTAATCACTTAACGTAATTACCAAAACAAATTAAGCGATAAAAACACTTCAATAATCAGAGTGTGTGTGTGTGTGTGTGTGTGTGTGTGTGTGTGTGTGTGTGTGTGTGTGTGTGTGTGTGTGTGTGTGTGTGTGTGTGTGTGTGTGTGTGTGTGTTTGTTGTTTGACGCCGCACTCAGCAATATTCCAGCTATATGACGGCGGTCTGTAAAATAATCGAGTCTTGACCAGACTAACCAGTGATTGACATCATAAGCATCGATCCACGCAATTGGGATCGATGACATGTATCAACCAAGTCAGCCAGCCTGGCAACCCGATCCCGTTAGTCGCCATTTACGACAAGCATAGTCGCCTTTTACGGCAAGTATGGGTTGCTGAAGGCCAATTCTACCCCGGAATCTTCACGGGTCTCAATAATCAGAAACAAACTTCCAATACAATCAAAGTTCATTGTATGATTCCGACTATATAATGTGGATGTGTTCATGAATCACTATCAAATAGTGATGAGAACATCAGAAGACAATGGCCAGAGTGTTCATGTTACAACAGGTTATTATTGACATACGATGGAGATCTACGAGCGCTTCAAACACTGCGTATTTCGCCCAAGGCGAAACTGATTTTCACCGAAGCCCGTTTGTTTACTGTGGGAAAAGACGTGATACACCAGCTGGAGCTGACCTACGAGGTACGTGAGTCACGAGCAGGGTATACTGTTTTTTTTCGAGCTGATTGTGCTATTCCGCCTTAGGTCGAAGCTCGAGGAATGCACACGAGCGTTTTCAGCTCATACAATCACGTCCACTCCGCTTGTATCGAATTAATCATTTCCTGTTCAAAAGTTACATGACTTTGTTTTAAATATGTGTGTGTCATTTAAATCACGACCTTCACTGTATCGGTCTTGGGTTACCAGACTACAGGACTCGACACAACGAGGATTCGTTTTCCTCTTACCTCGAGACAACCGTTTTCCTCTTACCTCGAGACAACCGTTTTCCTGCACACACCGATCAACGGGGATGAACACACTCAGCATGTCGGGGAACAGACAGCAGTTCTTATACCAGTAACTGTTGACGGAAAATGACGGAAAATGGTTAAAAATTCGAATTCTTTCTCGTTTCTCTGATTATTTTCGTTATTTCAAATATTTCCTAAAAATTACAAGTTTGTTCTCGTCACATCGAACATCTTCGCGTTATTTGAAGTTTATCTCAAAAACTAGTAATTTCGAAAAAGTCGAAAAAGTTCTCAGTATTTCGATTATTTTCTCGTTATTTGAAGTTTATTTAAAAAAAGAAATTTTGAATTTTTAACATAAATTTCAATTATCATCGATCAAGGGGGTTGAACATATTCAGAATGTGGGGGAACAGACAGCAGTTCCTATACCAGTAACAGTTGACAGAAAATGACAGATAATGGATAAGGGTTTGGTCGAGGGGCGGTCCTGCAGATCGTAAAATCGTAATCTCAAGGGAGTGAGGTGGGAGGTGCCCTGAGCAATAGGCTTCGCCCATTTTACCCATGTCGGGGAATCAAACACAGGCCTTGAGCGGGCCAAGCGAACGCGTGATATAGATTATATATTTATTGTGACTGGTGAATCAGATTGCTGGAGTGTTTGAAGAGTAACTACATAAGTTCTTCTGGGTTTTACAATAGTGATTGAGTGAGTGAGTATGAGCTTTCAGCAAGGTTTTAGCAATATATGGAAGTGGGGAGAATCGAACCTAGACCATCGGCATGGCGAGCGAACGCTTTTAACCTCTGCTGTTCAGGTAAAGTTAACACCTACGAAAGTCTAATGGTGCCATGTTGGAAGCAAAACTTCAACTTTTATCGACATTTCTGGTTACTTTAAGTCTTTTTCTGGTAAGTTCGAATATGTTCTCCTTATTTCAAGTTTATCTAAATCATTTTACTGGAAATTTCGAAATTCTTTTCTCGTTACTTCGAATATTTTCTTGTTATTTTAAGTGTATTTAAAAAAAATTAAATTTCGCATATTTTGTCTCGTTGTGTCCTATAATTTCCCGTTATTTCGACTATTTTCTCGTTGCTTCGAGTTTTTTCTCGTTACTGAAATTTCGAATTTTTTAAATGAACTTAAATTAAGAGAAAATTATTGAAATTGCAAAAACAAAAATTTGAAGTAATGAGAAAAACTGGAAAATTCGAAAAAAATTGGAAATAACAAATTTTTATTCAATTACTTTTCTTTCTTTTTTTGTTACTTCCATTATATTAATGGAAGTAACAAAAAAAGAAAGAAAAGTAATTGAATAAAATTAATCTTCGATTTAATCAAAAGTAAGTGTGCAACAAAGTGGCACAATTAGGCTTTCGTAATCACCCATAGTCTTGATGCCAGAGGTGTTTTCCTCCAGTGAGGGGTTCCTTCATCATCAGTTTGCAACTATACATGTAGCCTTCACCGCCAAGCAACTGCAGAAACAGAACAGACGTGCATTGTAGGATTAGCATCACACTGTGGCAATGTATCGTGTGTGTGTGTGTGTGTGATTGTGTGTGTATGTTTGTATGTGTGCGGGGATTGATTAGAGCAGCTATCTCCGCCACCGCAATTCATAGTATTGAAGGAACATAATTATAGATGAAAGAAAGAAATGCCTGACCTTTTCACTAAATCCAGCCACCTTTTCGCTGCGAACCACCATCCCCGTGACGTCACTTCCGGGATACCGCCATATGGCCAGTTTACTTTCCCTCTCTCCTCCATCTGAAATCTGTGAAATATTTGATTTAAAAAGTCAACCAATGTCACCTTTTAACGGTAATGTTTTCGAACCGGCCCTGTTTTTGACACATCGACTCCATGCATCTAGTCTTTTACTTTAATTACTTTTCGGTGCTAACGCCACACTCACCAATATTTCACCAACTGACGAGCAAAAGAAAGAATACACTTGAAAATTAGATCTGAGCAAGCAATTATTAACGTTATTCAAACGTTACGTGGCTGAAACAGTCGCCCAAACACTACAAACTTACGATCCAATACAAAACTATGATGGCTGTATCAAATACATTACAATTTAAGCAGAATTTCCTGTTTATTTCATTTCATAGCCACCATCAAGCCACCATCAAGCCACCATCAAGCATGGTTGTATACTTTCTTTGGCCAGGCAGTTTTTTAAATGAAAGATCACGGTGGATTTTTATGTTCTTGGACATCATCACAGTTATATCGTGGACACGAGTGCCCAGTCGTTTAAAGCGCTGTACAGTATTGTCACTTTGGCTCAAAACCTCTGCGTTGGTATGTCAACTGCTACAACCATAATAATGCGATTTCACCTACTAGTTTCTGAATACGCTGAATCAACATGAGATCCAGTACAATACCTCTCTGAATGAACATCTGAGGACACCGCCATAAAAAGTCATGCCAGGTGAACATTCTAATCAGCCAATCAGCGTCATGTGTTCTAAATTCAAATACGTCAGACCATACGAAACCATCAGACCATCATATTTTATTCCCGCATTCCGATAACGAGCAAAAACGACATTTCCTAATCGTCCATAACGAAGTTGCGCTCTTATTGTTGTTGATATTTAATAACTGACGAAGAAATCTGGAGACATGTCCATTCCTCTTCTGTACTGGATTCCAAAGCTTCATACAAATCCGTGCAAAGAAATATATTTCTGGGTCCAGCAAATGTTGCACCAAATCCCTGTTTCAACGATCAGCCAAGATACATAATACAATCAAGGAAGGACTTTCTTTTTATTCAAAGAAACTATTTGAGACAAGTGAAATTAATACCATTGTGGATTCTCAAAAACTCAAAGGATTTGGTTTCTATTTACAATCTCAGAAAAGAACCAGGATCAACTCTGTCAAAAACACATGCTCATGAGATTTCTGAATATGAATATGGAAATGGCTTTGTTATTATTTGATATACCCTGTCGATTCTGGGCTCAACCCAAACGGATACCATGTGTCTTGCATTGGTTTTCTTTTGCTGAGATTCCCGACATAGGTACAATGTGTGAAGCCCATTTCTGGTGTCCCCCGCCGTGATATTGCTGGAATATTGCTAAAAGCGGCGCAAAACATACTCACTCACTCTTTTGCTGAACTCGAAATTTGAGAATCGTTGTGGAGACATGACGCCAAAATGAAAGCTGACATCTGATTGGCTCAAGAACCCACAAATCCTTCTTTTGATTGGGCGCTCAAAGGTCGCTCAGGGCCTACCTACCTTGACCTTTTATTTAGGTGTCCTCAGATCTAACGCAGGGGGGTATGATAGCGGAGTAAAATGATTAATTTGAATGACATTGTTGTATTGTCAATGCATTGCAACCATTTACAGAAGAAAGTACATACCCCTTGTGCATTCTTAGTAATTGCATCCGATTCTTCCAATGTCTTCTTCACTTGGGATACCTCTTCTGCATCTAACAAGCCCCTGCAAAATCCACAGTTAATATACTCTTAAAAAGGAAGCGATCTTCGGAAATAACTTAAACTTCCAAAAGTGTAGATGTTAGTTTGTAGTTATATGGTAATATTTAACGAACTGGGAACACATTACAACCGGTATTGAAGTATGACCGTAGATGTTATGACCGCCTACAAAGAAAGGAAGTTGACGTTTAAGGATCAGTCGTGCATAATACCGTCACGATTTGTCAAACATTCATTCACTTGACGGGGGCGGTCGGGTAGCCTAGTGGTTAAAGTGGTTAAGTGTTGGCCTATTAACTATTAAGTTACCATGGCAACATTCAACATATGGAGATAACAAATACTATTATAACCAATTAACGACGCCTTTTAATTAATTAACAGTATAGGTATAACATGTCCTTTTTATGAGAACAAGGTACGTATGGATACATGTGTAAATTCGAAAACACAGAGGCGTATCACTTCCCATGATTTCATCGTTGTTGGTGAGCCAGCAGCGACTTTTGACAAGAAGCCATTATCAGCGTGTGACCAGATAAAAGTTGAGTTGAGTTGGGAAGGTTATCCCTCCCCTCTGACCTGAATGAATACACGATAGTTCTTATTACAGCCTCATCCCCATCGGTATGGCCCAGTTATTGGCGCTGACAAACCTAGAAACATGATCGGGGCGAACCGGTTTTGGAACCCACAAGCATAGGTTTCTGGCATGCCCACGGGACGCAACTCTGCACAGCGGATTGCGGCGCCTTAGACGACTGGGCCACTCGTGCCCATCCATGCAAGTGTTATGACACTTCACTGAAGATTTGTGTGATACCTTTACGTAGAACTAAATGGGTAAACATAATAAATAACATGTTTACCTGGTGAGTCAGTAATTATACTTACCTGATGAGGATGTATCCTCGTTCATCATATAACCTTTTGACATCTTCCGTGATATCAAACGATTGATCGAATTGAAACTCTTCATAATGGAACAGAAAAAAATAATATTTATTTCACCGAATGACATAAAGACGTTATTTAGAAATAACGTGGTTTCACTCATGACAGTCATGTGTCACCAACGTGAATAGAGTTATAAACAACCCTGTAACAAAGTATTCACACATTCGCCCTGTCCGGGAGATATATCCCATCCGCTATCACCTACCTGTCTCATAGCTCGAGATAGCAGTTACATATATTTATAGCTCGGACATTGTGACCTTACGCGTTGTCGTTCACTTGGCGTCTAGTACAACCTGTTACTTCCTTGAATTCTGAATTACTGCAGTTTGATCACACTCTTTTAAATGTCACTATGTTCAGGTTGATATCAGAGTGTTAGTTAGCCTTGTACTTCGGTGGCATGTCCACGTACCTGCTGAAATCATAGTCGACCAGCAAGCTTCCACGGTCCACGTTCAGGCGAATGTGTATCTGCTTTATTGAGTACAGGGTTGGCCCAGTTCACCCGATTGGCAAATATTTATAGCGTTTGCCCGTTCTACAAAGACATATGTGCTGGAAAGTAAATACCGTCGTATGCGGTTGGTTTGCCTGTATTCAGGTCGTTATGTTTGAGTGGGTCGCCTGATGAAACTGGTCTTTGGTTGTATGTTTCACACACACACACCCCCCCCCCCCCCCCCCCCCCCCCCTCCCACCCGACACACACACCCCTGTGTGTAGAATTCAGTCAAGCCCGACAAGTCGTCATTTGGGAATTGTGTTGGGTGAGGTGTGGAGAAATAGGGCTTAACGTTGCGTTTAAGGTTTGTGCGACATTGAGACGTGTAGGCACTTGAATGCCACCTGTGCAATGCCGTTTGGCCTTAAACACCGAAAACAAACTATCTGTATGCACTCGTGTGTCTATTCATGTGTGTGTGTGTTTGTGTGTAAGTGTGCATGTGTGTGTACTTGTCAGCATTCTTGTTATACCGGTTGTATATGACAAGCCTACTAAGATATCATGCAGCAGCTGGGCACCTCACTCAGACACAGTATAAAGCTAGACAACTCACTCATACACAGTATACAACTGGACACCCCACTCATACACAGTATACAGTTGGACATCCCACTCAGACACAATATACAGCTGGACATCCCACTCAGACACAGTATACAGCCGGACACCTCACTCAGACATAGTATACAGCTGGATACCCACTCAGACACAGTATACAGCTGGACAACACACATAGACACAGTATACAGCCGGACACCCCACTTAGACACAGTATACAGCTGGACAACACACATAGACACAGTATACAGCTGGACAACACACATAGACACAGTATACAGCTGGACACCCCACTCATACACAGTATACAGCTGGACAACACACATAGACACAGTATACAGCTGGACACCACACTTAGACACAGTATACAGCTGGACACCCCACTCATACACAGTATACAGCTGGACAACACACATAGACACAGTATACAGCTGGACAACACACATAGACACAGTATACAGCTGGACACCCCACTCATACACAGTATACAGCTGGACAACACACATAGACACAGTATACAGCTGGACACCACACTTAGACACAGTATACAGCTGGACACCCCACTCATACACAGTATACAGCTGGACAACACACATAGACACAGTATACAGCTGGACACCACACTTAGACACAGTATACAGCTGGACACCCCACTCATACACAGTATACAGCTGGACAACACACATAGACACAGTATACAGCTGGACACCCCACTCATACACAGTATACAGCTGGACAACACACATAGACACAGTATACAGCTGGACACCCCACTTAGACACAGTATACAGCTGGACACCCCACTCATACACAGTATACAGCTGGACAACACACATAGACACAGTATACAGCTGGACACCACACTTAGACACAGTATACAGCTGGATACCCACTCAGACACAGTATACAGCTGGACACCCCACTCAGACATAGTATACAGCTGGATACCCACTCAGACACAGTATACAGCTGGACAACACACATAGACACAGTATACAGCCGGACACCCCACTTAGACACAGTATACAGCTGGACACCCCACTCATACGCAGTATACAGCTGGACAACACACATAGACACAGTATACAGCTGGACAACACACATAGACACAGTATACAGCTGGACAACACACACAGACACAGTATACAGCTGGACAACACACATAGACACAGTATACAGCTGGACAACACACATAGACACAGTATACAGCTGGACAACACACATAGACACAGTATACAGCTGGACACCCACTCAGACACAGTATACAGCTGGACAACACACATAGACACAGTATACAGCTGGACAACACACATAGACACAGTATACAGCTGGACACCCCACTCATACACAGTATACAGCTGGACAACACACATAGACACAGTATACAACTGGACAACACACATAGACACAGTATACAGCTGGACACCTCACTCATACACAGTATACAGCTGGACAACACACATAGACACAGTATACAACTGGACAACACACATAGACACAGTATACAGCTGGACACCTCACTCATACACAGTATACAGCTGGACAACACACATAGACACAGTATACAGCTGGACACCTCACTCAGACACAGTATACAGCTGGACACCACACTTAGACACAGTATACAGCTGGATACCCACTCAGACACAGTATACAGCTGGACACCCCACTCAGACATAGTATACAGCTGGATACCCACTCAGACACAGTATACAGCTGGACAACACACATAGACACAGTATACAGCCGGACACCCCACTCAGACATAGTATACAGCTGGACACCCCACTCATACACAGTATACAGCTGGACAACACACATAGACACAGTATACAGCTGGACAACACACATAGACACAGTATACAGCTGGACACCCCACTCATACACAGTATACAGCTGGACAACACACATAGACACAGTATACAGCTGGACACCCCACTCATACACAGTATACAGCTGGACAACACACATAGACACAGTATACAGCTGGACAACACACATAGGCACAGTATACAGCTGGACACCCCTCTCAGAGACAGTTTGACGTGCTTGACGGTGGTTTCTGTCAAAATGGGACGTCTGGCGGGTCTTCTGGCGACAATCTCTGCACATCTGAGGCGGCGACGTACGGTTTGTGAAGATATTCGTCGAAGGCCAGGGATGCTTCTTGCAGTCACTGTTGCTGGCTGGAATCGATTTCGTGGGTGTGTTCTTCGATCCAATTGTCTCGTCGAGTATTGGTTACGCGTGGCCTACCACTCCGAGGATGGTCTCTGACTGCATTCATCTGTTGCCAACGTTGCCATAAACACACGTTAAATTGTCTGGCACCATCACGTTGACTCGATCCTGCTTCAAGCATACCAATGGCTCGCAGACGCTCATTTTCGGATAGGCGTGGCATTTCGTAATGTTGAATTATTGCGTAATTTTGTTGTTTTTCTGAGTGGTTGCTGTCAGCACGATGCTAAACAATGCATCTGGAATCCCGTTAACGCACATGTTTTTATATCCATTCTTGGGTAGTGAAATGCATGGAGCTTGCATAAAAGTCAACTTTTGCATGGAATGCATGCTTTTCTGTAGCAGTTGCGTTTTTGTGACTTGATTCCATACATGTTCTACAATATTGAAACCAAACTTTACTTGCTTGAAAAATACACTAAAATATTGGTGTCACAGGAACTTGTGTTGTTGATTATATGTCACATTCAGACATTGACAATTACACTCTTGACTCGCTCGGTGTATCATCAGAAGATACTCGCAGAGATGACATAACATCCTCTATATCTGAAGACTTTGTCTACAAGTCGGGTCCTTCCGATCCTCCTTCAGGCCCCATGGGCTTTACTATAGGAACAGATCTTGATGATCAAGACTTGGCAGAAAAGCAACGTAAATCCACTGACCTTCGTCAAATCATGGACTACATTGAAAAAGGTGAAATTCCTTCCACCTATACAGATGTTCAAGTCAAGGGTCTAACGGGCCTTGCTCAAGATTATGACATACGTGATGGTACTCTGTAACACTTCTATCATGCAAAGCATCAGGTTGAGAAAACAACCGCCCTCCTATGGTAACACAGCTAGCTGTCCCTGTCTACTGTCGCAAAGAGCTTCTTTTTGTCTACCATGATTCCAAGGCTGGTGTTTGCCACTTTGCACGAGATGCCACATGTCAAACAGTACTCACAAAGTATTACTGGCCAGCCTTATACCAGGATACTGAAAATTATGTCAAGTCCTGTGATGACTGCCATCGCTCCAAAAGAAGGACAAATGCCAAGCAAGCACTAATGGTGCCCATGCCTACATTCTCTCGTCTCCATGTTGACATCCTAGGGCCATTGCCTGAGACTAAGGAAGGTTATAAGTATGTTCTCCTTGCAGTTGATTCCTTCTCACGCTGGACAGAAGGTTTCCCTAAGCGAACTCAAGAAGCCGCTGAGGTTGCGTCTATCCTGTTCACTGAGGTCTTTTCTACGGTGTGGTGCTACCCGTACACTCCTTACTGACAGAGGTACCATCCCCAAACTGATGTGTGAAAGGAGGAACAGTGTCATAGAGCAGGCTCTCCGAACATATGCTGACCCTGATCTGACCAATTGGGCCAACCTCATTCCATGTGTAATGATGGCTATGCGCAATGGACCTTGTCAATTTGACCCCCAGCAAGGCTGTCTTAATACCAGGCCGCAGTTTAATATGAATACCCCACTCAGACACAGTATACTGAATCCGAGCTGACCAGTCCTTGTTTTAGTCCCTTAATGTCGAGCGTCAGGCAGGGTAGCAACAAGTCCCATCTTTTAACGTCTTTTGGTATGACGCGGCCGGGGATCGAACCCGGACCTTCCGCTCTCCGGCAGACACTCTACCACTGGACCAAAGAAGCGGTCTACATAGTATGAAAGTAAGACCAACTCTAACCCGGATCTTCACGGGTCGTATGTTAAGTTTTGTTTGTCTGTTGTTTTATCAGCACTCAGCAATATTTCTGCTCTATGACGGCGGTCTGTAAATAATAATCTCTGGACCAGACAATCCAGTGATTGACATTATGACCAACCCGGAACTTACCCAGGATCTTCATGGGCTCAAACCTCTTGTAGCGAATGGGTGCAGGATGTATATCAGAAAAGAGTGGAAATGTGATACGCTGGATTGTCTAGGGTGGGTTTTGTTTCACATGATACACAATGCCGATTCTCATAATATGTGAAGTGTTTATTTGAATAGAATGACATATCTGATTATTCCTGATCAAAAAGTGAGTAGATTATATTATTAAAGAGTGGTAACTTTTTCTGAAAGTATTTCCTTGGTAATTTAGTTTTTAATTCATCACCCGCATGGAATGCTTATCGTAGGAGCGACAAAATATATCAGGTGCTCATAATATCATCCCCTGGTTTGTCAGGTCCGTACTCGATTATTATACAGGCCTTAGTCATGTGATTTGAATTTTGCAGTGTGTTGCGTTAATCAACAAACGAACACCAAATTCCATGAGTAACTCCATAGATGTAAGAGTTGAAAAAAGTTGTTCGTCTTGACATGAGCCAAGATAACTAGGCGCAAATGTTAGTCAATTGACCAATACAAATGAATGTGTTTGAACGTGCGTGCGTGCGTGCATGCGTGTGTGCATTCGTTTGAGGTTGCTTGTACTAGTCCGGACTAATGCCGATTTAAAATTGCTAACCCAGTGAGATACCATGCCGCAGTTTAACATGAATATCTCACTCTGACACAGTCTCCGGGCCGATCAGTGCACGTTTTATCCCCTAAATACCCAGAGCCAGGCAAGGTAACAACAAATATTTTAACGTCTTTTGGTTTGACGCGTCGAAGATCTAACCTCCGACCTTCCGTTCTCCGGGCAGACGCTCCATCCACTAGACCACGGAGGCGGTCACTTAATTACAGGAGAATAAGACAACCAAACGGGAATTCGCGACAGCAGGTACTTGTCATGATCAAGTACATGTGGGTCAGCCTAAACTGACATGAATCTTATATCAAGGGCGCGATATCCTTATCTTTAACGACTTAAGAGTTTTCTGATTTCAAAAATGCATGTTTATTAACAACAATGCTCTTTGTTATAGTACTGATCTTCATTTCACGTAAGTATATGTATAAATGTTTCCATTTCTGTTGTAGTGCGGCATGCATTTTGTCCAATAACTTGATCAGGGAACAGTGTCTAAATAGACAGACACGACCGACGATGTGTGTACCGGATCGCACCTAAGGGTTGTGGACGTGTGTTTATCTCTACAACAGCGTCATAGCTTTACGGCTGTAGGAAATCTATGTCTGTTAAAATAATAAAAATACGTTTAGTCATGATGTTATTTTTTTAACATAGCCGAGGACTTAAATACTTTTAGTTTGTTTAACCTTCGTTTGTTTAATGTATACTACTCAAAAGAAGTTAAGGATCACCTGATTCTTTCATATTACAATAGTTAATCTCTCATGCCATGACAGATTAACATTACCAATATGAAAGAATCGGGTGATCCTTAACTTCTTTTGGGCAGTATATATAGACACCACCATTCGCCGTAGAGGTTTGCTTGTTTCTTGCTTTCTTTGTTGCACTCTGCAATAGTCCAGCTATATGACGGCGGTCTGTGAATAATCGAGTCTGGACCAGACAATCCAGTGATTGACATCATGAGCATCGATCCACGCAATTGGGATCGATGATATGCATCAACCAAGTCAGCGAGCCTGACCACCTGATCCCGTTAGTCGCCTTTTACGACAAGCATAGTCACCTTTTACAGCAAGCATCTTCTTCACGGAATCTTCACGGGTCAGCTATATGACGGGGATGGTTATATAATCGAGTGATTGACTCATGAGGATGGTTATATAATCGAGTGATTGACTCATGAGGATGGTTATATAATCGAGTGATTGACTCATGAGGATGGTTATATAATCGAGTGATTGACTCATGAGCAACGATCCATGGACCTGCGATGCGATGACATACAATTAAATCACTTACTTTCTTTGACGATCCATATAATGCGTTTTAACATATTATGGAAGCCGTGTTCATTTGGTGTCACTCATGTTTTATGAATTGAAGAACATGAAACACAAACAGATGTATAACTTATTTCAGTGGCATTTAGAAGTTGGTGTGATGATCACTTGCTTGATAAAGGTGTTAGGATCTACACCGAAACGTCGCACTAATTGTAATAAAGAAGTTGTTCATCCATAGAACTCGTCTTTCTTCAAACAGATGTAAGTACCAATTATTTATATATTAGACATCAAGTCAATAAGTGCAGTTATTCAGAAATTCCTCAACACATCCTAACATGGATGTATAGATATTTGTCGAAACTAATGAAGTCACTGAACTAACATTAATTTTACATGTAAGTGGGCTATGATTACAACAGCCTGAAAAGATTTAGAGGCCACTTAAGGGATCGGGAGGTCAGGCTCGCTGACTTGGTGGATGCATGTCACTGTATCCCAATTGCGCGGATCGACGCTCATGTGGTCATTCACTGGATTGTCTGGTCCGGACTCGATTTTGTTTTTACAGAATGCCGTCATATGGCTGGAATATTGTGAGTGTGGCGTTAAACAACAAACAAAGAAATCAGTGTTACTATCTCGTCCAATACAAAGAAAATGAGAGAGATTATTTAGAATTCTAAACCTGCCCATTATTCGCTGATCCTGACTTCGTGTTTATCACTAGGAAAGGTACCTACCCTCGCAGCACCTTGTCCCGGCATGTTCCTCCGGTCCGGGGGCGGTCGGGTAGCCCAGTGGTTAAAGCGTTCGCTCGTCACGCCGAAGACCCGGGTGCGATTCCCGACATGGGTACAATGTGTGAAGTCCATTTCTGGTGTCCCCCGCCGTGATATTGCTGGAATATTGCTAAAAGCGGCGTAAAACCATACTCACTCACTCACTCACTCCTCCGGTCCGTTTGAATACTGCAAGGGACATTCTCGCGATCTCGCATTCTCCGGATTCGACTTTTGGTAACGAGCCAAATATGCCCAAAACACGAGAAAGCGAGATCGCGAGAACGCGAGATTGGACATGATGCAAAATCTTGCAATCTCGACTTGTCAGATTAGCCCACAAAAACTCAAAATCGCGGGAATGCGAGAATGCGATATTTCATTTTCTCGCGATCTCATGTTCTCGCGTTTTTGACGCTGTCCGTGCACATGCCTAATATCATAAGGTCAAGGCGCACGCGCACGTTAGTTGTCCCGTAGTTACACTTCTTTCATGATTGTGTTTGTTCTGATTGTCTTTTTCGAAGTTAAATATAATCATATTTACAGGATAACAAACGAGTCTTCTCTCTTGTCAATGGTCTTACTGAATTTCAGCTTTATTCGCTGACGACTTCAGCAGGTGCCCCGCCTCCGTCCAACCCAACCAGTACTTCCGTACATTCAGAGAACGATGCTATGAGTTCGCCATCTACCGAGAGGTGTACTGGGAGGAGGCCTCCAAGGAGTGTTCCCACAAGGGCGGTTCATTAGCGACTGTCATCGACCTGGCCACCCAAAAATTCTTCGAGAACTCGCTTTCCAGTCTAAAATCCACGAAGCACGGCATCTGGATTGGTTTGAATGACAGAGCTTCGGAAGATCACTACACTTGGGTGTCAGGTCAGGTCAGCTGTCCAGATTGAGGAGCGCATGCTTCGTCAGTCATCATTCTCCACTTAGGAGATAAACCTACTGTGTTTTAAAATTTTAAAACACAGTAGGTTTATCTCCATTCTACCATGATGGCAACACCGCTGTGAAAACGGCGCTCTCTTGCAACGCGTAATAACACAGGTGCACAGGTCCGCAATCTTAGAACGTTCCGAAAAGTGGTCTCAGGTAGTTATATATGTAACAATTATTACTAAACGGCGCTCTCTTGCAACGCGTAATAACACAGGTGCACAGGTCCGCAATCTTAGAACATTCCAAAAAGTGGTCATAGGTACATGTGTAGTATATATGTAACACTTATTACTAAAGTTCAAGATTAAAAACACCATAGTCGTGAATAGTTCATAATAAGTGTTCAAAACACATAGTTCTTCAAAAGAAGTTGACAAATAACACTCCTAACTTAGTCCAAAGAGAGATGTTTTACTTTCCACCAAACTGTTGTACACTGTTGTACACTGTGGACTGGCTGTCATTTCTCGGAATTTTGTGAGAGAGGTCATTTCTTGAAAATCGAACATGTCATCATTTTTATTGTAGAGGTGATGGGTAAGAGAAAAAGGTTTTAAAATGCTAAACGAATATATTTCTACATCAAACTTAATGAATTAACATTCTATTATACATTTAACATGTGTAAGTGTTATTAGGTAGTTAGCAATAACCCCCAGTAAATAATAATAAAAACAAAATACGTGCCTCTCCACCCCGAACTTGGATGTGGCAGAACTTGACCTACATCACGGTTACTCACACCTCGCAGATGTCAATGGCTGACAATCAGTGTTTACATTCTCCGTAACGTGTTATAGAAAGAAGCAAGATGACAACCCCGATCTATTATGTGGTTCAACATTAACAGGTAGATTGGGCGGTAGATTATCTGGGATTGATCGAGCCTGCTGGTACATCCATATGATTACCGATGTGACTGAGTATGACTGAACAGCCGCTTTTTAGGCTGCAGACGAGCCGGATATTTTGAAACGAGGAATCTGCATGGTGTGACCTATTAATTTCAAGATTTTACGGATCCAAAGCCAAATAGTGACAGAACTTAGACATTTGTGTCCCAGAAATAGTGGATCGTGTATAATTTTCTTAATTGAGCGTGTTCTTAAATAAATTTCATCAAATTTGATAAGCTGTCACTTCAGTTGGGACATTGTTTTCGTAGACTTTCGAAGGGGAGTGTTTTCTGATGGACTTTCAAATCCACTCCTGCCAAATTCTAACGGCAATGGTTGACGGAGATGGCAACGAATATCGATCAGAAAAAGGTTGTAAACAACATGTTGTCATGAATAAAGTTTTTTAAAACAATTTTATAATGTTAGATATATATTTTACTTTCATTGTCGGGTGTTTCAATGAGGAAATAGCTTAAATTGTTCCGATTCTGGTCACCATAGAACATTTCTCAAACAGTTTCATAAACATTTCATTTGTATGCAAAAGATATGCCTTCGTTAAATCTTTTAATGTCATCATCGAAGCAGTCAGGGTTGTGGCCTAGAACGCCCCAAACATCCGATATCAAACTACCGTATTTCCTCTATTTGACACTACGCCATTTATTAATTTCGCGAGAACCCTTGACTCGGCGTGTATTAGAGACCTGGCTGGTATTAGAGACCCAGGGTGTATTAGAGACCTGGCTGGTATTAGAGACCCAGGGTGTATTAGGGACCTGGCTGGTATTAGAGACCAAGCTGTATAAGTGGAAATATAGATACGTTTTACAGTTCATATGGGGTGATCGATCGGCAGCCATTTTCTATGAATCGATATGTAGGCTATCTATATATTCATACGCACGTTTCTTTGTGAAAAGGCTTAATATATTTGAAAGGGATTTCCGTAGCAAAAAGGAAATCTCTTTTTAACCAATCAGAATCAAGCATTCATCAATGTCGCGGTAGAATAACCGGTAACCCCTTGTCTAAAATAAGTAAAACTCTTAATAATGCTTCTTTGTCAGTTAGAGATAGAATATCCTAAACATACATTTTATTTCTCTGAAAGGAGCAGAACCAATTCAGGACATAGTTTGTCCAGCTAACACCCGGTGTCTTGAGTCTTTATGATGTGTTTTCGCGAACACCTGGTATCATCACTATATGATAGTAATTCTTGCTCATGATATCGTCGGAATCGTACAAACGAGTTTTAGCAGAGATTTCGTGTGAATATGGAAATGGATTTCATAAGTCATATGTTTAGCTCACCTGACTTAAAATCAAATGAGCTTATGTCGTTACCTGTTTTATCCATATCCACGCAAACCGCTGGCACAAAAGCTGAAACCTCACTCATGGTCCCAACAATTGTGACATCACAATTACTTTGAGTGGTTCGAATCCTATGAAAAACCTTTTGACGACCATTATTGTTATTTTTAGTTAAAATGTTATAATAGGGCATATGCTTAGTTTGTAATGGGCCTCGACATATTTAACATTTGTCATCCTTTTGATCTTCGCGTTTGGACAATGCTCACACCCACACAACACCACACCAACACACAAACCTCCATGGCGGTCTAATTGAAAAATATTTGTGGCCATTGCCAGTTTTGATAAAAATGCAATGACATTAGTGTTATATATGTAAAAGTATAGTCTAGTTAGTATTTTGGCTCAACACATACGTTCATATTTTCGCAATAATTTAAATTTAGACCTGGATTTCGTCATGCTCGTACACACTTGGTTCTGAGAACATCTGAGCACAAACTATTTTATCAATGCTACATCTAATAAAGTTTCAAACTCTGACTCTATACCCAGGTACATGTGTTTTTAAATCTCAGATTACCGAAACCGTTCAAGCCCACTCGTGTATAACATTATGTTTATTGATTATTACATGCAGGAGAGGAAACTCATTTCACCTACTGGGCCAGCGGCGAGCCAAGCTCTGTGTTGCATAGAGTGGAGGATTGTGTCATAATGAGAAATTCTAAAGCTTACCATTGGGAGGACCAACCCTGCAACCTCTGGCCGAGACATTACAGTTATATATGTCAGTATGGTGAGTATAGAAATCCTCTGAAAACAATTATTACCGCGTGAAGAATCCTGGTACGAGTGTAGGTCCCCCGCAACCTGTGTGCTGGTCGTGAGAGGCGACAAAACGGACAGGGTGTTGACTTAGTTATTGCACGTCATCGTATCCCAATTGTGTGAGTCGACATTTGTGATGTCAGTCACAGGATTGTCCGGTCCAGTTTCGATTATTTACAGACCGCCGTCATATAGCTGGAATATTGCTAAGTGTGGAGTAAACTTGCAACAGACAAACGAAACACATATTGCTTAACCTGTTTCGTCAGCGTTTGAGAGAGTTTGGTTTGTGGACGTTAGTATGACATTACTGCTAAGTCTAGTAAGGTGTATGAACACGTTGTTTTGTTAGCTCTAGTTCTACATGTCATACATGTGTACACTGTAATATTTTGTCACAATTCTTATTGATCATTGCCTGCGAAATATGTTTTAGTTTGCCATTGCATACACGTGTGTCGTGTTCTTAATTTGTCGGTGTCGGCCTTAATCGCAGTGGACCTATGATACCGTTACTTGATCTGGCTGGCTGACCATGCCCCCCCCCCCCCCCCCCCCCCCCACACACACACACACACCCCACCCTACCCATCTCGAATTTGGCTACAACGGTCCCGTTAGGTTCCGAATACTGGGATCCGAATTTGTTTACTAGATAAACACCTATACCGTATGTTTCAGACATGTTGCCGACCACCACTATGACAACAACAACGACAACTACAACGACATCTACTCCAACGACAACACCAACCACAACACCAACCACTACAACGACGACAACCACAACACCAGCCACAACAACGACGACAACCACAACCACATCACCAACCACAACTACTACAACTACAACTACTACCAGTTTGTAATATTTATAAAGTCAAGTTTCAGGTGCATGTGCGTCTCAGAATAAGGGCCCGATCATTTGATTATTCTAGGTGTGGTGTGGTGTGGTGTGGTGTGGTGACGTGTTTGTGTTTGGTGAGAGTGTGTGTGTGTGTGTGTGTGATTCGTGTGTGTGTGTGATTCGTGTGTGTGTGTGTGTGTAGAGTAATACTGAGGCCTTTCAGACATTAAAACGCACCAAAAGTTAAGTATATGTTCACTGTAACTGGCGGCGTGTTAGATGATGGACAACATAACTTGGCCTCATCTTCCTTCGTAAATAAGCATATCCTTTTAGATTTGGACAAGAATAGATCAGAATAAACTGTTTCTTCATATTCTAAATACGAGAGATAGAAACTTATTTTTGGCATTTGGTATTTTTCATTACATACATGTATATTCATTATATTAATAACAAAATATAATAACAAATTTGACATGACTTCATGTTTCATTGACTTCAATAATAGCACCGTGGACCCCTCTTAAGTGAGTGAGAGAGTGAGTGGGATTTAACGCCGCTTTTAACAGTATTCCAGTTATATCACGGGGTGTAAGCTTAATGTGGGAGGAAAGCCCGAAGTGATGCAGGTCTCAGACGTTTACCACTTCGGCGAAACCCACGAGCACGGGTATGGTGCTGACAAACCTAGAAACATAATCGGGGCGAACCGGGATTCGAACCCACAATCATAGGTTTCTGGCGTGCCCAAGGGACGCAGCTTTGCACAGCGAATCGCGGCGCCTTAGACGACTGGGCCACCCGTGCCCCCGGATCCCTCTTAAGAATATAGTAACAAAACGTTGATATGTTGAAAGTAAAAAGCTTGCATTTTTTCTCACAGCACCCTGTCAACTGCTCTCTTGTACCCTGGACTGCTCTCTGAATGGCTTCAAGACTGACCCTGACGGATGTCCAGTGTGCACGTGCGACTGACGGGACCGAAAAGACGGTTTTTTACATCCGTTAAATGGTTTTGGTGTTGCTGGTGATCAGATGATCGTGATTAACTTTTGGAAATAAAACTGAGGTTCAGGTCCATTTAGTATTTAGTTGTGGTTTGTTTAGAGATGAGAAATAATTGATGCTTTTCTGAAATATATTCTAAAATGGTGTGTTTTACACCGCACTCAGCAATATTCCAGATATATGACGGCGGACTTCGGTTCTGACCCAGAACATCCAGTGTTGATACGGTGAGCTATGATTCGGATACCTTGACAGACGGTCAACTCCGTCACCGAGTTTGCCATCTCATCCTTTCAGTCTCATCAACAACCGGGTGGTTAGCCTACTGGTTAAAGCGTTTGCTCGTCACGCAGAAGACCCGGGTTCGAACCCCATATGGGTAAATGAGGCGTAAAACCATACTCACTCAATCGCTCACTCATCAACAACCAGGGTTATTGGGGACCAACACTAACCCGGAAACCCCTTTCAGGCAAGGTGAGCTAACAGGCAAACTATTTAAAACTGTTTCCCGATAGTTCATAATGGATCTTTCCAACTTTCTCTCTGTGAATCATAATTCCTTTCAATTGCAAGTTCCACACAGTCAACCCACATGACACCAGGTGTTTGAGAAAAGTGTAAGCAGGCCCTGGTCTAACTTTAATATCGTAAAAATAGAATAGCAAGGTCCAGAGGATCCACACAGCGCAAAGAATGGTTGTAGCATACCTACCTATTGCTGCAAGTACCTATGCTGAAAGCGCACATGTGTAACACAGAAGATGTGGTACCTTCAGAATCAGGAATGAGAATATGGCACCTTTCAGTTCTAGTCATATGTGTTCATAAGTATGACCTCCTGATATTTTTGTCATTGTGTTCAAGAAACAAGGAGTATAATGTTGACATAAACATAGTTGTATACATGACGCTGTTGACATTGATATATCTACAGTGTAACGTTATTGGTATTTTTTTTAAATGTAATCTTTTCAAAGTAATAATATATATACGTTGTTGTAATATTGTTTTATAATGAAGACGATCGGTGGAGGCATGTTGATATTGCTAAAATTAAAAACCCACAACGTTGTGAGTGCGTCTGTTATTTTTAACTATAAATATACACTCTTCAAAAAAATGAAACGCACAGGTAGTATGTAGTTCATTGAAACCTGACTGCACAGAACACGCTACATAAATTTGATGTTATTGGAAAATGTTATTTGCATGCTATTTGACAAACGGTGCGTCAAAACGCAGCCATTGTCGATTTGCAATGTCCTAAAGGGCATTTTTTCACACTTGTTAAAAACGTCATGGAGAAAAACAGTAAATCAAAATGCCGATCGGAACACCGCCATAGGACGTATCCAAAGAGCGAAATTGCAGTCTAATGTTTCACGCCACTTCAACGTCCACCATAGCACCATTTGCCGCCTTCAGTTCAATTCCACTGCAGACCGTCTGAGAACCGACCAAGAGTTACCGCCCCTGCAGAGGATCGCTACATTCGACTGTTCCACCTGCGTCATCGTAATGTCACTGCTACGGAGACGACAGGACGCATCCCTGGTTTGTGGAGGATATCGGACCAGACTGTCAGGAACCATCTTTGCGAGGCTGGAATCCGACCCAGAAAAGCAGTTATCGTCCCTGTTTTGCAACAAATCCATTGACAGCGACGCTTGTGTTGGTGCCATACATTACAGCCTTGGAATTCGAGAAACTGCAGACGAGTGTTCTTTAGCGATGAATCACAATTTCTTATTCACTGGCGTGATGGAAGACAACGTGCTTATCGTCGTCGAAATACGCGTTTTGCCCCACATTGTGTATATGAATTCGACAAATTCGGTGGCGGTAGTGTCATGGTCTGGGGGGCATATCCTACACCACGAGACCTGACTTGGTTACATGAATCAAATTCTTCAACCTCACCTTCTTCCAATCATTGACCGCCAGAGGGAGCTGTTTCAACAGGACAACGCTCCACCGCACACAGCTCGTGTCACGGTAGACTACCTTCATAATGCCAACATCAACGATTTGCCCTGGCCCTCGAGATCTCCAGATCTCAACCCAATCGAACACCTCTGGGATGAACTCGATCGACGTGTACGTCAACGTCAGAACACGCCCAAGACACTCCCACAACTGGCCAACGCGTTACAAGCAGAATGGCGAAGAATTCCACTGGACAGAATTTGTACACTTATCCAGTCAGTGCCGAGAAAATGCAGAGCCGTGATTGCTGCCCGAGGCGGTCACACGAGATACTGTGTTTAGCGCAACCTTGTGGCCTTATGTGACACGACAAAGAACAGTTTTCAATGCCTTTGTACAAAGACAACATGTGACTATCGAGTCCAAAATTTAATATGTGTATCTATGATATTAAATTAAATATATCAATTTTATTAGGTACAATACATTTACTAAAAATCTACCTGTGCGTTTCTTTTTGTGAAGAGTATACTGTACGTCTCTATGAGAGTTACCAACAAAGGCTAATATGTTAACTTCTGTAGCCCGACTCCTTAATGATTACCATAGATCCACGCAATAGGGACACAGTGACATGCATCAACCAATCCCCTTGTCGCCAAGCATTGTCGCCTTTTACGGCAAGCATGGGTTGCTGAAGATCTATTCTGACCCAGATCTGTTCTGATAGTGCGGAGGGCCACGTTATGCAGAGTTGCGTCCCTTTGGGATTTAGCACGTTTTGAAAGTGCATTAAAATAAAGGTCGTTTGAGGGTTATCTGTTCCAGGCTCGAGACGTGCATGTGTACATGCTCAGCTGTCGTCCTTATCACTATCTTCAACCACCTAAGGAACTGTGTCTATATATACATACAGAAATAGAGTAAAAACTACAGTGAGAAGCATGAGTCTCGTTCAAGGAATACTTCTTTCGTGTCTCGTCCTGTCTGGTGAGTATGTCAGTAGAAATTTAGAAACTGATGTGAAATAATCGACGTGACGAGAGAATACTTTAACCACCAGGCTACCCCCTGCCCCAGTTTAAGCAGATGTTCTCAGTTGTTCGTGCGGTTCACCTGGTAGGATGACGTTCCTCTGACGTCTATAATTTACCAGTGCTTCTGATATGGGTTTGGTTGGCTAAAGGAGTAATAAAGCGCATTGAGAAACTATAAGTGGAATTTTGTATTTTTAAATTTAACTTTACATGCATGTACATTCGAAGATCGTTGTGTCGAACTTGGATGTGTCGAATTCCCGGTTGTCTTGAACTCACATAACGGTCCCCCTGAATTCCTTGCATATTTATCATCAAATATAGTGGTCATATGTCATATTATATATTCGCGCACTTCACTCTTCTCTGGAATGGAAAGTAGGAGGGCGTTAAAAATACTGGAGTTACTGTTGCATTGTCCTTTATATCTACTTGGCTGGAATCCTGTAAAAACACACAGTTCCACAGTCACAAAGACCATTGCGTTCAGGCTGATATTCTTCTTCCTCTGTTATTGATTTTCTGTACCGTAATACGATAAGCAAACGTTTTTATGACATATCACAATTTCTTTTCCAAGTATTACGTTCACAGAAATATCCCGAACACAAAAAACTACTTTAGAAAATTAAACAAATATATTGAGACTGACCAAATAGAGTACCGCTAAGAAAAACCTGATCACGTGACAATCCCGTGTCTTCGCTAGATATTGGCGGTGAACCCATATATTGAACTGTACATTTTTATTTCATGATCTCGCCTCATCTCCGACCAGTTTAAATGTAATTGAGACATTTGAAATGTCCATGTTGAACAAAGTTCAATTTGTCTTCAATTTGCCTCTTCATAAGACGTCGTTCTCTAAAACAGTCATTGTGACGTCATCACTTTATGTGTATACACAATCAACGGAGATTTAGCAATGCGCGAAAACTGTGCGCGTAAACCGATAACCGGAGGAGATAAATAGCACCTTGGCGATTTGTTCACCTGTCCATGTATTGTGATATGTCGCAATATGATCTTGACCTTTGTAGATATATGAGGTTTGGTAGCCCAGATACTCACTCACAGATATGTGTAGACACGGCTATGTTGGTTGTGGGTAATGGTGCTCAACATTGTTCTAATGTTGTTGACTGTAGTGTTTAGTTGGGACCTTAATTACACTTCATATATTTACATGACGTTACAACCATCAAACTTTGTGAGAAAATCAGGACACAATATCAGTTCAAGATTTCGTACATCTTATTACCGTATAGTATAAAGCAGATGTACAGTCAGTTTTGTGTGGTGGAATTGACAGCGTTGGCCATAAATGTATATCAATATATATAGTACTTTTGTATTTTATTCGTGAGTGATTCGGGTTTTGCGCCGCTTTTAACAATATTCCAGCAATATCACGGCGGGGGACACAATTTTTGGGTTTCACACGTTGTACCCACGTGGGGAATCGAACCAGAGACTTTGGACAAGATGACTCTTTAACCTCTAGGATACCCCCATCGCCCCTATATTGCACCGCGTGAAAGTTGCAGACATTTGTTTAGATGAAAAATTGGTATACATTTATATTGTTATTGAATGAGTATAAATAGCAACGACAAAACCTGCCAATCACAATCACAAAAATGCCCTATTCCGACAAAACACTAAGAAAGTGGTGATGCTACCTGGTGTTCGAGGAAAGGTGAACTCTCACATTTTAATATCAAGAATGTACATGTGGATTGATATAATCATGTAGCGATTGTTATCCTGGTCTCTGTTGAGTTATACAAGACGTTAAAGTCACCACAACAGACGCAAATATTTATATTTAGATCGTTTGTGTTTTATCTAACTGTTGCAATATTCCGTTTAAGCTTTGGCAGAAGAAGAGGAGTTCAGCAAATGTCCCTCGGCTATCCCAAGGAACCAGTACCTGACGACATTCAGGAATCGGTGTTATGAGTTTGCCGTCTACCGGGAGACATACTGGCCAGACGCAAACGCTGAATGTCAGCGCGAGGGCGGCTCTCTGGTCAGTGTTAATGATGCGGAAACCCAGGTCTTCCTCATCAAGACTCTGGTTGCTTTGAACTTCGCCAAGCACGG